AAAGACACTCAGGGACAGTGCTCAGGCCCTGAGGTCAAGCCCCAGGACTGGCAAAAAACAAACAAAAAAACAAGGGTGAGATCTCCAGCCACCTTGTGGGTGTGTTGGTGAAGAAAAGTGAAACTTATTGAGAAATCAGAGGGTTACGGTGTGATGGCTGGAGCCTAGGAGCTGGCTGAGATGTCTGGGGGCCTAACCACCTCCTGACAGTCTCTCTCAGGGCCACAGCTGATGATAATGGGACTTGGGAGGGTGACCCATGTAGGGCAGACCTGCACTCAGGTCATTACCTCTGGTCCATTAACCTCCCACCTTGAGCAGAGTAGTAGCAACGAATGAGATCTGTAGCAGTAACTGGTGTTTATGTAGAGGATTATCTTGTTTGGTAATTAGTGTTACTTCAAAGATTTTACTGATTAGAATAATAAAGTTTAAAGAAATGTTTTTCTTTTTCTAGTCAACAACGTCAGCAGAGGTGTCTAAAAAGTTGTCAGATGCTTCTTTAAAAGACTGCAAAGCAGAAATAGAGGTAAGCTTTAAAGAAGTTTCAAGGATGCACGCTCTAGTAGAATTACAGAAGCTTTGTCTTCTTCTGGTCTGCTAGGTCTAGGAAGAGACTCGTTTGAGCTTACACAGAGCAGCCCCATCTTTATTTTACTGTCAAGATAGTGGCTTGTATGCCAGTTCCAGTTGCTCGTGCTTGTAACCTTAGCTACTCAGGAGACTTAGATCTGAGGATCAAGGTTTGACGTCAGCCCAGGCAGGGCTCTTACTTCCAATTAACCACCAAAGCACCTAGAATTGGAGCTGTGGTCCGAGTGGCAGAGCACTAGCCTTGAATATAGAAGCTCAGGGACAGCACCCAGGCCCCGAGTTCAAGCCCCAGGACCAACATACATGTACACACAAGCATACACATATGGTGTATAATCAAGAGATAGGAGAGAGGTAGGGGTGGCGCTGAGGATGACTCTGGGAAGGATCAAGACACTATGCTGACAAGAAAGAGAGGCCAACTGGAAGGACCCCTTGTAAGTTCTGCTTGATGAATTTGGGATTCTGCAATTCTCTCCTATGGTGAGGTACAATCATGGCCTAGTATCTCTGGTACGTCATCTTGCGGGTCTTTGACTCATCTTGAGTCATCTAGTGCTACTGAAGAGTTGAAGCCAGCTTCCATCATCCATTTTGAAGTGTTCTCACAGAGGCGATGAAGGACACGGGTAGGGCTGGGACCTGTTGAGGTCCACTGTGGCTGCTCAGGGGGAGAATCATTGAGACTGGAGCTGTGCCAACAGGAGGAGACAGCAGATAGGGCTGTCCTGTGTTCCCTGACTTGTATTTTGTTGAAATGTGGTGTAAGGTTTCAGAGATGTATACAAATGCATTTCAGTAATTAAGAGCAGTCATGCACCACATAACAATGTTTTGGTAATAGATGGACTGCATCCACACTGGTATGTAGTCTCTAAGATCGTGTCACCTAATGGCACACCTTTGTGTGTTTAAGTACACTGAGGGTGTTGCAGCACAGTTCTCCAGATGTGTCTCATCAGGCCACAACTGTGGATGGCAGCAGAGACTGAGTCTTTATCTGTACATCTGCCGAGAGCCATTTGGATATTTATGATATCATTAGTGGTCTATACAACATTATCAATACAGGCAAATGGTTGGGCAGCTTTAAGCCTATGAGAAGCATCTGTGTCTGTCTTGTCATGTACCAGATGACCCAGCAGTATCTCTGCGTACAGGCTCAGTGGATTGCTGCCCCACCTGAGGCTATACAAAAGCATGTAAATTTAGGTGAAAGAGTGTTGATGTCCTTCTCTGTAAGGACTTGATGGCTTAGTTACAGTGTTATATGGCTCTCCTTTCCTATTTAGGGGTGCTGCATTGTTTGAGTACTTGTTTCCTCAAGTGAAGTTTGAGAGAGAAACCTGCTGATGCTATCACGGTGCGAACCACTTAACTCCCTTTCATTCTTTTTTCTTTAAGGTTGAAATTTCCACCAGTACAGGGAAGTTGTCAAAAAACGCAAAACGGCGACCCAAAAATGCTGTGGAAGGTACTGCAAAGCTGCTTGTTTATGGAGAGCTTCTGAGGCGGGAACAGGACTGCCGTGGCTGGGGCTAGCAGACTGTGTGGACATGATGACTTGTGGTTTACCACACACCTGCACGCTCACACCACATCATAGCATACCACACAAAGGATAGAGTAGCCTCCTTTACTAGAAACTTGTTTAGAAACCTAAAAGACATTATGGAATTTTCACTTTGAAGAAATAATTGCTAGCCTTGTTTTCATGGGTCTTTATCTGTTACATTGGTGGGTAGATTTCATCCTATTACATCCTAAACAAAAAGAGCAGACAGGCAGAAGATATGAAGATGTATGTTTTACCAGTCATGTTTATGTACATATTTAATCTTTTCAGTCAGTCTCCTATTTTAATTCATGCTGTAAGGAAAGGCTCTGAAGTTGTTTATATTTTCATAATAATTCAGTGGCAGTTTTAGAGGCATGTGCTAGTTAATCTTACCTTTCCCTTCTTTCCCTTGTACTCTGCAGTGCTTTGTGTACTGAGGTCTGGACTTTTCTTTTTTCTTACTTTTTTTTTTTTTCAATCTCCACTGTTTTCTGTTTTACTGCTAATTAGCTCTCATTATTATTATTTTTTTGTCAGTTGTGGGGCTTGAACTCTGGGCTTGGGTGCTGTCCCTGTGCTCTTCAGCTCAAAGTGAGCACTCTACTGCTTGAGCCACAGAGCCACTTGTGGTTTTCTAGTGTTGATTGGAGTTAAGAGTCTGATGGACTTTTCCTGCCTGGGCTGGCTTTGAACGGTGATCCTCAGATCTCAGCCTCCTGAGTAGCTAGGATTATTGGCATGAGCCACTGGTGCCCAGCTCTTTTTTCTTTTTTTAATTGGTCATGGGGCTTGCACTCTGGGCCTGGGCACTGTGCCTGAGCTCTTCAGCTCAAGGCTAGCACTCTACCACTTGAACCATCACTCCATTTCCGGTTTTCTGGTGGTTTCTTGGAGATAAGGGTCTCATGGACTTTGCTGTCTGGACTGGCTTTGATCTCAGCCTCCTGAGTAACTAGGATTACAGGCATGTGCCACCAGTGCCCAGCTACTCTCATTATTCTTTACAAAAGAGTTTTAAGCTGTTTCATATTTTTTCTTTTGTTCTTCTGGATACATTTGTGTGTGTGTGTGTGTGTGTGTGTGTGTGTGTGTGGGTTGTGAGGCCTGATCTCTGGGCCTTTGTTCTTCCTCAGCTCTTCAGCTCAAGGTGAGCACTCTACCACTTGAGCCACAACACCACTTCCAGCTTTTTCTGTTATGTAGTGATGAGGAATCGAACCCAGGTCCTCATGCATACAAGGCAAGTGCTCTACCACTGAGCCACCTTCCCAGCCCTTCTGGATCCATTTTAAGACTATGTCAAACTTCTCAGAACTTAGCTGATTTGTGTTACAGCTATGCTTTCCTTAGTTTAGGAGGATCGGACACCTCTAGTTTCAAGTTGATCGAGCATCTTTTCTTCTGAAGAGACATGTGTGCATGTGCTGGTGTGTCAGTCAGAGTGATGGCTGATTGCTCTGACAGTGGGATCTTCTGTTTTGTAATGATACTTATTGGATGGAGATAAGTGCTGATTTTTGATAGTATACTAAATCCAGCCTTCATTTCTCAGTTAGTCTAGTAGTTCTCCCACTGCTGCTCAGAGTTTCTCAGTAGATTTCATCTCCTTTCTAACCACTCCGGACACTTCCTCCATGTTCTACAGAACTGGTGCCATGGGATTGTTACCAAGTTTTTCTCACAGGGACTTGTACGCTTTGTGTTAGTGAGCTTCCTTACCTTTAGTCAGCAGCATAATGGACTTATCTTCCTGCTTACTGGCCAGGCACTGACCTTCCCCAGGCCCTTTCCAGCCAAGCTGGCATGTCTCAGCATTCTACCATGCACCTAGAGGTTCTCAAGACATGAACTTGTGTATTCCTTTCAAGAGTAAGCTTTGCATCCACAAGACTGTGAGGGCACCATATGTAAGCTGTGTGTAGATTCTTAATCTCTGTGAGCTCAGAAGACATCTGCATAAGAATGTGGTCATTTTTACTCATTCCTAAGTAGTATATTACAGCAGAACTGAGAACTGAGATATAGAGTACATTTTAATTCATTTTTAAAAATAACCATCCAACATTACAAAGTAAGTTTAATACGTATTTTCATTGTGCAATTTCATGTCAGGAAGAAAAGACACTAAAACCAGTGAAAATAGCCTTTCCCCTGAAAAAGAACATAACTCCTCCTACCGTAAAGCTAAGAAGGAACGTGCTATGATGCAGCTCGGTAAGACTCAGTGGGCTGTAGTGAGGCTGTGAGTGAATGTCTGTGAGTTGAAATTGTCACTGCTGACCTCTGTTTGTATGGTGTCACTGCACATGGGCTGTGTGAGGTGACCACAGAGACCCTGCCCTGCGTGACTGCCCTGAGTGCCTGACCCCTCCGCCAGAGAGGAGGAGGCAGAGGAATGTGGATCCTGCTGGACAGAGTGCAGGGCTGCCCTCAGCTAGCTGAGGTTGTTCCAGCAAGTCAGCTGTGGACTGCGATTGTTCACTAGAGCCTTCCTTTCTTTAGTGTACAGACATTTATAATTATAAAAAGAACACAGGTGCAAAAGTGCATGCAAGGTGATGATGGTTATTTTGAAGGAAAATGGAATCAAGAGAAGTAGGGATGGAGGGGCATAAATAAGCATGGAGGGCCTCGCTGAGCTTCTGAGAGCTGACTGGGGAGGAGGAAGACATGTAGGTGTCCAAGGATCCTGAGCTGGAAGACAGGCTTGACTGCCTGTGTATCAGGCTAGGGTAGAAGGGGACAAGGACCTGTCAGCTGGGCCTAGAAGTGCTGGACCTCATTGGCTGTGTGTTTCAAGGTCCTGGTGGGTTGAAGTAGGATAGAAACCAGGTTTGACTTGAGGTTTAAAAGGAACTCCTGAAATTGGAGGGTGGAAACAGGTTGGAGAGCAGGGAGGAGCCTGGATGATGGATGAGGGTGGTCAGACAGGCACTCGGGGGGAGCAGATGGAGCGGAAGACGGCCATAGAGGTAACAACTATGATGGGTTAGGTGCTGCTTGTTAGAAAGAAGAGGACTCAAAGGGCGACACATTTGGCAGTTCTGGGCACATAGGCAGTGCCACGTACTGAAACAGAAGACTTGTGAAAAGCTGTTTGGTGGGTTAGGAACCAGGGCCAGGAACTCTTTATTTGGGATACATCCAGTCTGAGATGTCTGCACAACACCCAAGTGGAGGTGTGCATGGAGGTGGATGTAGGCCTGCCATCAGGGAGAGTCGTAAAAACCAAAGGTGAGACACACCTGAGTGTTGGTGCACACAGCTTGGAGTGGATGCTGAGCTCTAGGCTTGCCAGGACGCAGGCTGGCAGAGGGAGAATCTGGCAAAGGAAGCAAGGCCTCCTTTGGAGGAGATCTGAGAGTGTAGATGTCTTGAGAGCCAAGAGAAAGACCCTTGTGTTGGAAAAGGGCAAGGGTTTCCTATTTTGTCTTCAGAGAGGTGCCTTCTGAGACAGAGTAGACAGGGCAGAGGGTTAGACCCCTATAAATCCTACTAAAGCAGCTAAACAAAAGTGTTTATGAATTTTAATCTGCTGTTAGCCATCTTATGTCAGGGACAGAGGATAATATTTCAGCTAAATTTCATTGTTTTTGTTTTTGTTTTGTCAGTCATGGGGCTTGAACTCAGGGCCTGGGTGCTGTCCTGATCTCTTTTGCTCAAGGCTAGTGCTCTACCACTTTGAGCCACAGTTCCACTTTCAGCTAAAATTTTAGACTCCACAGTGTGTGGATTTAGTAATGAACCAGATCAGGAAACTACAGCTTCAGAAATGGGTAAGAAAAATGAGTTCTTTAGTTTAAATTCCTCTATTTTGGTATGAAGTGTTTACAACCCAGTATAGTTAGAAATTATTTCTTAGTCTGACCACTTTGTCAAGTTTTTTCACAGTGTGCTGAAAATTAGATGTGACCTGGCATTTCATTTGACTTTAGTTGCTAAGTGACAATATTATTAATTCAGCTTTTTACATTTACTTTTTAGGTATAAGATACATGCTATATATGATAAAGATGTGTTTTAGTATATACAATATAAAATGTACACTGTATGTATAAGTGTAAGTAAGTGTAAGTATAAGTCTAGCTGTGTCCTTTTTCGTTTTCTTTTTTTTTTTTTTGGCAGTACTGGGGTTTGAACTTGGCTTTCACTTGCTAGACAGATGCTATGCCACTTGAGGCACACCTCCAGCCCCAAGATGCTTTCTTAATTTTGCTTTGTTAGAATTTTATAAAGTGATGTGATTACATAAAGGAATAACGTGTGCAGTTTATACATCATTTCTATTAAGACTTCTCTACTTTGTTCCATTAAGACCTGACAGTAAGGCTCTTACTGTGAAGCGTGCTTTGACACCTTGAAGACATGACCTGTTCCTTACCCATTTAGACATATGCTGGCAATGTAAGTTGGTGCACACATGGGTGATCCTTCATTAAATGTCGGTCAGTCCAGTTGTCTGTGGCTTCAGGTTCTTCAGAAGTAGAATTCATAGGCTATACGCAGGAAGAAAATAGTGTCAATTTTGGCTCTAGGAGAAGGTATTTATCTGCCTGGTATTTATCTGATTTTTAAAAAAATTTTTTGAAGTTGTAGCTAGAATGCTGACAAGAATGTCTCTGAGCCACAGGGTCGCAGTAGCCCTGGCATCTCTAAGAGGGGTGTGTGCTGTGCTCCTTCCCCATGGATGCAACAGGAGCAAGGGAAAGCCACCAGGGTGGTTTTATTCCCCATAGGCAGCTGCATATGGTTTTACTGGTCATCAGCAGTCAGGAAACCAAGGCATAGATGACCACCCAGAGCAGGATGATTTCTCACTGATGAGAACTCGGCCATCATAGGTATGCGCGTTCCAGTTCAACCCCATCTGTGGCAGTGTGTTTATTTAGGGAGAGCATTTCTCATCTGCAGGCTCCTATAGCAGAGAATTGGTCCAGAGAGGAGAGTAAGTGGTACAAGCTCAGGCGGGAGCTGCTTTCTGCAGCCCATACAGGAGGTCAACTCTGACCCTCACTTCTCCACTCTCACACCTGGCCTTGAGAAGTGCATGGGTACGTTCCCTGAGCAGCATTCCTTGAGCTGTGATGGTCCTCATTGCTCATGATACAGAAATACCACGCAGAAGCAGAACCCAAGTGTGCTCTGGTCAGGACACATTACTTCAGTTTGACAGCCCCAGATTGAGGTGAGTCAAAGCCTAATGTGAGATGGGCCCATGAATTTCAAATAAACTGGAAATATTCCTTAGGCATCGAGTAAGCTCTGTGTAGAGATGTGGAAATAATGTACAGGCTTACTATTGGGGAACTTGCACTGCACACATTGAGTGTCTTGTAGACTAGAATGAGACTTGATGTTACCTGGTGAGGCAGAAGGAGTCACTGGCTCACTTGTTGCCCTAGGGTAGTGGTGGGGGTTCAGGAACAGTGGCCGGAGCATTGCAGAGCAGAGGCTGGGCTCTGGAGGGGCCCCAGGGCATGTGTCTCTCTCCCTGCCAACCTTTCTCCCCTTGGGTTCTGCTGCTACACTTGCCTTGACCTTCCGCTGTGCACCTGGGCCCTGACATCCATCACAGATGTCTCTAAGCTTGGTCACTTTACTTTTGGAATTGAGAATCACGAGCAGTTGCTAGAGTTCCTCAGCTTCTTGTGTCCAGTGTAACTTCTGAAGCTACTGCCCTCTGGTCTGCTGAATGATCCTTTCCTTACAGTTACCTTTTATTCCTAGTGCTTCAGTGGGAAACCTGTTTAATTTTTAAAACTTTTGAGTCTTAAGGCCTCCTGAGTGCTTGGGTTTATAGGTGTGCACCACTGTGCCCAGCCCGTGTTTTCAGAGCACAGTTACTGTTCCCACTGACCAGTCCCTCCAAGCTCTGTGCTCACTGCTTGGACCACCTAGTGCTGCTTTTGGGTCCTCACAAAGGACCTTGTGGGTTTTGTTGTTACTGTCTTGCTTTGTGGGTGGACTGAAGTGAATTGATCTGTGTCTTTTTCAGATCATAAGAGGTTTCTTCCGGCTTTTTGGGTATATAAGCTGGGCCATGTGCCTTGTCCTTTGAGGTTGTTTGACAATTCCAAGTTTTCTGGAATATTATGCTGTTATCTTTATTTTGTTTCCTTTATTTCCTTTTTTATTATAAAAAATGTAGAAAAGTAGAAAGAATGCTGATAGTTAACACCTTGATCAATTAGTTCCAAGATTTTGCTATATTCACCTTAGCTATGAATTCTTACATATTATTTCAAAGTATGTCCAAAACATCCTGACAGTTCATAAATATCTCAACATGTGGCCCAAAAAATACAATGAGAGCTGGGCGCAGGTGGCTCATGCCTGTAATCCTAGTTACTAAGGAGGCTGAGCTCTGAGGATTGCTGTTCAAAGCCAGCCAGGGCAGGAAGGTCCATGAGATGCTTCTCTCCAATAAACCACCAGAAAACCAGAAGTGGTGCTGTGGCTCAAGTGGTAGAGTGCTTGCCTTGAGCTGAAGAGCTGAGGGACAGTGCCCAGCCCCTTCAAGCCCCATAACCAACAAAAAAAATAAATAAAAATACAATTAAATAGGCATTTTTTATGCAGCCACAAGGTTCTTAACTTACTGAATAGATTATTGTTTTCTAGTATTAAAAACCTATTTTTTTTGTTCTAACTGTTCCAAAACTGTTTTCAATTTTTTAAAGTATGTTATTTCATCAGATTTTTTTTTTTTTGGCTTGAACTTGGCTTTCTGCTAGCCAGCATACATGTACAACTTGGACCATCTCCCCTGACCCTTTTTGATCAGACTGAACAGAAACTAAGCACAGCTAAAGTTTGCACAGACCCCTCGGAGAATGTCAGAGTACTGGCAATGACATTATGAGTGTTGCTGACTGTGGACTTCAGCAGTAGTAACTGAGGTGGCATCACCCTTGAAGCCATGCACGCTTGAGTTTACATTAGCTCTGTGCAACAGGGTGAGCTGCGGCACAGGTATTGCTTAGATTCAGAGCCTGAACTTAGAAGGCTGGCCCTTTTAAAATTGGTGATACTTGGATTTGAACTCGGGGCCTTGCACTTGCAAGGAAGACCCTACCACTTGAGTGACACTTTTTTATCTTTATTATTTCCTGAATAGATTATTGTCCCATTGCATCAGTTGCTAGGTAATAGAAATTTTATTTTATTTTTTAATAAGCTCGTTGTTTACTTTTTTAAAGCTGTGGCTGGTTAATCTTCTTTGTCACTGAGACTTGACTGGAGTATTATTGAGAATATATAATCTGCTCTTGTGTTCTTTCAGTTTGTGTGAACTTGAGGTTTAGTAAGGCTTACTTATGAATGCTTGTAAAACTTTGGAAAGAAAAGATGATGCAAAGTATCTAGATTAGGAATGGTAGCTCAATGATAGAATGTTACCCTGGGTTGAATCCCAGCATTGCCAAAAAAAAAAAGAACCAAAATATTATTAGTCTCAGACTATGGACAGAAAATAATAGAACTTGTATGTATTTAGTGTGATGCTGTTTTACATATAGAAAATATTTGATACTGTTGAATCAAAAATGATAAAATTATTAGAGCTCTTCTATAATTAGTAATATATAATTTTTAAGCCTATGTTTGCTTTTATGTCTTAATAGTTCATGTTCATTTTCTTGTCAGGCTCTATAAAATGTTATAGACACTTAGACTGTTAAGTCTACTTTATAGATTGAAATTTTTTCCTTATGAAAGTGTGTCATATGTATAAATGAGTTATGGATGGCTAATGACTGATTTTGGCTTCAGGAAAGGGAGTATTTTCCTCTCTTATTTTCTCTCCAAAAGAATGGTGTGTTCTTGGGTGATGGCTCCATTTTTTTTTTCTGTTAGTGCTAGTACTGGGGCTTGAACACTGGTCCTTGCATTTTTGCTTAGCTTTTTTTACTTATGGCTGATACTCTATCACTTGATCCACCTCCACTTTCCAGTTTTGTTTTTTTTTTTTGGTTAATTGGAGATTCGTGAGGTGGTGTTGGCTTCTTTTGCTTTATTTTTTATTTTTTAGGTTTTATATCAACTTTATTTTCAGAACCAACCTGCAATGAGTATCAGTATACCCCCATTACTTCAGACTATTGTAGGAATCATATTCATTGTTTTTTTTGGGGGTCGGTTGTGGGGCCTGAACTCTGGGCCTGGGCGCTGTCCCTCAGCTCTTCAGCTCAAGGCTAGCGCTCTACCACTTGAGCCACAGTGCCACTTCTGGCTTTTTCTGCTTATGTGGTACTAAGGAATCGAACCTAGGGCCTCATGCATGCGAGGCAAGCACTCTACCACTGAGCCGCCTTCCCAGCTCCAATCATATTCATTCTTACATGTGCCAAAACTCATACTCAACAATGAGTTCTGGGTTTCAGAACTCATTTCTGCTTTTAATAGGGAAAATATGTGACTTCTCAGGCATTGATATTTCACCAACTCAGTAATCAACCTCTCAGTATGTCAGGATGGCGACTGTGAAAAAAATATTTCCTTTTCTTCCACCTTTCCTGCAATGGCCAGCTACCTGTGTCAGCTTAACTCCCAGGCGTGGCTGAGGAGGGAGCAGCAGTGGAGGCTGCTGTGTCGAGGAAGGTCTAGAAGTGGAAGGTGGGCAGTCTGCCTTGGCCAGGGAAGTACCCAGCTGAGTTGGACTGCTTACAGACTGGTGCCTCTCTATGTGCCCAGTTCCAGAATCATACAAGAGAGGTACATTCTGGAAACACATTTTCCTAGGCTGTCTTTGTCAGCCCTGTATATACTTTCTGTGTGGGAGAATGTGAATGAATAAGTGTGCTCTTCATTAGCCAGGTCATTTGTCACCCCTTCCCCCTTCAGTGTGCAGCTTTAGAGCCAGTTTTAAACTGTATCAGTAGCTAATACTAACTGGACTAGTATTTCAGATGATAATTCAACCAGTCGGTGGCGTGAGAGCAGTGAGGCAGCCCCAGCAGTAAAGCAGACAGGTAAGAATGGCCCTGCACACCTGTGGGAGCAGATGGAGCACCTGTGTGAGGGCTGCTGAGTAGGCTGGCTGGCACCTACTCTCCCTTCGGGAGTGTGCCACCTCCTCCTGGAGCTGGGTGTGGCAAGTAAACCGCGCTCCCTTTGCACATACCCCACGGTGTTAGTAGGCAGCACAGGAGACATCACTCTGAAACAGGTTTTTGGGGTGGCTGGGGATTTCTGCAGGCTGGCTTTGGAAGTACATGAGTGTAGTCACTGCCGCCATCCACCCAGTTACTATGTTCCCCCAGGTCTCAAGTGCAGTCCTGTCTTAGCAGTGTTATCAGCTTAGAAAGAGCTATAAAATACAAGAGCCTGTTTCTCAAAACCTTGGCACACTCACAGTATGCGTTGATGGGTCTGGGGAGTTGTGGGGCATGGCCAGGTGAGGTGAATGTTTGTCTATTCACACAGAAGGTATTTAACAGAGGCTGTTGTGTGTCGGCCCCAGAGGGAGTGCATCAGGGAGCAGAGAGGACATCTGCTGCTTCCCAATGTTAGCACACAGGCTGAACTGATACATACACATGGAATAAAGAGACTGCTTAACATGAGGTGCTGGAGGGAGGGAGAGGAGCAGGGGTGTTGGGTCTTGGCTGACCGGGAGCAGGGGTGGTGGCTGAGGAGTCTGCCAGGCAGCAGGAAGTGCATAGTGGAGCTCAGGTGATGGCTGGGCACGATGGAAGCATTGAGAGCGTGGCAGGGCACGTGGGGAGGGGCTGGCAGACCTTGTGTGGCCATGTGTGAGAGCATTCAGCCTTTGAGAGCAGTGGGAGGCTGGTACCTGTGGGCATGTGGATGAAGAGCTGTCTCATGTGCCAGGGTACAGGAGCCAGGTGCAGGTGAGCTCTCTGGGCCAACGTCTGGCACAGTGGGACCAGAGAATAGTAGGAGGGAGCTGGGAAGGATGTCTTAGCAGCCTAGGTAGGCTGCACTATATGGAGAAGGCCTCTGTATCTCTGGTGATAGGGACTGGAAGTGTCCATTGGTTGAGGTACTGTCTCTACAATATGGACAGGTCATATGTTCACTTACTGTCTGGAATTACCTTGTGACTTAATTACCCTGCCTCAGTAACCTTTCCAAATGCCTTGTGAATCCAGACCCAGCAACCCCAAGACATTGTCCCCCTATCTCATAGGACTCTGTGCTGTCTCTGCAAAAGGCTCAGACTCCAGGTCACACCACATTGCCTGGCCTTTGCCTTTGGCAGCCCTGTCCCCAGGTTGAGCAGAGCCCCGACACCCCTGATGCCCTCAGCACCATCCTGACGTCCTTGAAGCGGCTCTTCCAGCATCACTGATGCTCACCTTCATGCTGTCCTCTGCCTGGAGCCGTGATCTGCAGGTCCCTCCTTGCTGCTGCCTCCGCTGTGTCTGGGATGTGACCGCTGGGGTCTCCTAGGGCTGTAGAGACAGGGTTTCTCCCATAGCACTCACAGGAGGCCTCCCATGGCTGTGGAAGTGCTCGTCCCCTTTGGTTCCTGTGGTGTGCCAGGAGACTGTCCCTGTCTGGAGGTAGGCACACATGAATGCACATACTTGTCCCCTTCTCCTGTGTCCTCACCCTCACAGCCATCCATGTAGTGCAGGTCTTTTGCAAATGTGTTCCTGTATTTTCAGAGTGTGACACAAATATTTTGCACCTTAGGCTGGCTTTGAGTACTTCCCTCCCCCCATGGATGACCTGGGTGGAGGTACAAAGGGGCTGTGGAGCCTGGGGGAGACTTGTTCCACAGGATGGGCTGAGCTTCTTCACCACATCTTGCAAGTGGCTTGGAATTTGTGCTCCCTGTCTCAGCCTTCATACTAGCCCCTAACGGTGCAATTTATCTCTGTACTTATCTCCATGATCTGGCTTCCAGTTTTTATGTGAGTATTATTCATAGCTGAAAATGTCAGAACAGCAGTGGAATACTTGGAAAAAGGCCCTGTGGGGCAGCCTTATTTCCTAGTCCGTACTGTGCCATTCGTGGTGTGCTTTTCTCTACTGCTGCTCACAGTGTACGGACCCAAAGCTAACTTCTGATGTCCTCTTTCTTTAGGTGACTCCACCAGCGATGCAGGTGAGGATGGCTCTGCAGTATTTGGAGAAGTTGCAGGCTGCGCAGGTGTCAAGACAGCTCTCAGTTCTGTGCTTCCTTTACATTTGCACCAGTGAAAGTATTTTAAGGAAATGTGCCATGTGAATTTAAGAGTCAATTGAAATGTTTTAAATTGCAATCCTGTAGGGGTACTATGCATAATGTTAGCATATTTTAATCATGAAAAGACAGTATTTCAGGACTTTTTTTCCCCAGTGTATAAGTTTATTTCCAGTGTTTAAGTTCTGATTTATTACTTTCTGAATTACTCCTACTTTATTGTCATTTTTGGTAGTACCGGGGTTTGAGCTAGGGCAAAGTCTTTGCCAGTTGAGTCACATTTCAAGTCCTTTTTTGCTTCAGCTGTTTTCCAGGTAGGATCTCATGCTTGGCACAGGGTGGATCACAGACTGTCATCCTCTTACCTAATGGCCTCCCTGTGGCAAATTAGAGACCTGTGCCACCATGCCTGGCTCATGTTTTGCCTCAGCTGCTATCCACATAGCTGAATAGACATGAGCCACAGTGCCTAGCACTTTTACTTTAGTGAACAAAACTTAATTCTTTTTAATAGTTTGGGTTTCTAACTTGTAAGTTAAATCTTTTTACCAAATGAAACAACAACAACAAAAACCTTTCAGATTATAAAAAAAAAAAAAAAAAAAACAACGATGTGGTACCATGGTTGTTCAAGAGGTAGAGTGCCAGCCATTAGAAAGCCAAACAAGAGCTCAAGGCTTTGAATTGAAACCCTCATACTAGTATGGGGTGGGGGTGTGAGGATGGTGTAGTACATATCTGAGCAGAAAATTTTCAAAATGTAGATATAAAAAATGCTTGGCAATTCTACTACTTGTGGCATAAGTGAACATCTTCCCAGTACCCCATGGGTTGTTACTCTACTGTATAAGTTACCTATTAGAAGGTTAACTGTTTTAGAATTGAGTCTAACATGTGACTGACCAGTCCATAATTTGGTACCCTCCTGGCTGATGTGTAATTATATATGCCTATTTCTTTTTTTTTGGGGGGGGGGTCTGGTCGTAGGTTCTGAACTCTGGGCCTGGGCACTGTCCCTCAGCTCTTCAGCTCAAGGCTAGCGCTCTACCACTTGAGCCACTTCTGACTTTTTTCTTTTTTCTTATCAGGCATGCAAGGCAAGTGCTCTACCACTGAGCCAACCTTCCCAGCCCACATATGCCTAGTTCTTAGGTTGTATTTTTTAAGTTAAATTGCAGAGTTGATTATTCTTTCATCCATAGGGTTTGAATACACCCATTCCTCAAATCTTCACCCTATTTAGATATCAGACATCTTTGTTTTATTAGAATCAAAATGGACAAAAATATAACTCATTTATATTTGAAGTCATTTGTTCTTTTCAAATATTTACATTTGAATTAATGGATATTTACATTTGAATTATAGAATTAAATCCATCAGTTTGTGTTTCATTGTGAATTACTGATTGGATTGTCACATGTTTAGATGGAGAAGCTGGACCTGCTTTACAAGAGAAGTCAGAGGTGTCAGAGACTGCTGAAATCCCCAGTGAGCTTTCCTCCAATGTCAGGTAAGTGCTTTTTTACCCAAGGCTTGGCCCAGTGGCCATGTCCAGGGAGGTGCTGTGGCACCTCTTCTCAACCCTTTTGCTGTGTGCTTAGTGCTTGTGCTGGTTTAGAAAAATATTTGTACAAAGAAAGCAAAAGTTAGTAATGTACTGCATACCAAATATTGTAGAAGTTTAGGGAAATGCCTAGAAATGGTTGAGGTATGCCACTTTGAGGTAACTGTCTCACTACTCTGCTGAGTGTGTCTAGTATGTTGGTGGTGTCGTGGAACTTAGCACTAATGTTGACCTTGGTTTTCTCTTGTTCACTTCAAAATGTGTTTCTTACATGTCTTTTTTGCTTTTCTAACACTTGGGTCTAGAAGAATACCTCGGCCTGGGAGTGCACGGCCTGCACCGCCCAGGGTCAAACGACAGGAGAGCATGGAGACACTGCCAGCAGACAGGTGAGGCTAGTCGTATGGGCCACAAGTGCTCTTCTGAACATGCAGGCGTGGGCTTGTACTAAGAGAGGGTGGGAAGGTGGCTCAGTGGTAGAGCGCTTGCCTTGCATGCATGAGGCCCTGGGTTCAATTCCTCAGCACCACATAAGCCGGAAAAAGCCGGAAGTGGCACTATGGCTCAAGTGGTAGAGTGCTCGCTTTGAGCTGAAGAGCTGAGAGACAGAGCCCAGAGTCCAAGCCCCACACCTGACCAAAAAACAAACAAACAAACTAAGGGTGGCAGGAAATTCTGGGAAAGCTCAGCCCTAAACCATATAACTGCATACACTCCAGATGAATGGAAGGGGGTGTGAGGGAAGGAGGAGGGGTGGGACTTCAGAAATGATGGGCTATTTTTCTCAGATCCCTAGGTAGAAGGCTTTGTAAGTATCAAAACAATGAGGGAAAAGGGGGAGGGGGAAGGTTAATGGCTTATTTGCACAAAAATTTAAAAACAAATGGTTCAGCTGGATGCTGGCAGCTCACATAGCTACTCAGGAGGCTGAGATCTGAGGACCTCAGTTTGAAGCCAGCCCAGCCAGGAAACTCTGTAAGACTCTAATCTCAAAAGGCTGGAAGTGGAGCTGTGGCTCAAATGGTAAATTGCTAGCCTAGAGGAAAAAAGCCAACTGAGAACATAAGACCCTGAGATCAAGAACTAGCTAAACAAAACCGAACAAAACTAAATGGTCTTAAAATCATGAGCAGAGACAGCGGTTAGGCTGGATCAGAATGGGTTTCAAGAAGCAGGAATCGGAGATATTAAGCACAGACCTGCGCTTTTCCAGGAGTTTTGCTGCAAAAGAATCACAGGCATAGTGTGGGTATACATGTGCATGTACATGTATATTATGTATGTGTGTCTGTGTTTGTGTATTCAGGTATACAATTGCTACAGGGTAACAGTGGGGCATAGGAATTAAGGAGATTGCCTATGGTATGATCACATTAAGTTGCAGATGAAGGCAGGCGGGAAAAGTGTCTTGAAGACTGCTTGGTTGTGGGCTTAGGCCAAGGCCCAGGTAGTACTACTATAAGTGCTTCGGCAGAGGGAATCTGATGTGTAGCTGGGATGTTGGGTGAGAGAGTGCCAAGGTACTAGAGAGCCCTTGGATCGAAGCAGTCATCAGTAAGGATGAGGAGAACAGTAGCTGGGCCAAACTCTAGGTTGTTGGCTTGCCCAGAGTGATAGCAGGACCCAAGTAGAGGGAGGCACACACCAGAGTGTTGGACAGAGACATTAGGCCACAGCAGGCTTGGGAGGTGACTGAGGGGCATGGAGAGGGTGCTCTGTAGAGAGTCAAAGTCTGGGCAACCTTAGTACCTTGGCCTACAGAGTCTTCTTTGCCACTCCTGGTCTGAGGTTTGTCACTTAGGAGAACAGGGCCCTTCAGATAGAGGGTTGCAAGTGAAGAACTGGTCTTTGTGTAACAGAGGGCACAGTGAAGTCTGGGGAGAGGGAGGCTGGGCGTGGCCAGGAGTCCTGGGCAATGGAGGATGGTGGAGGGCAGACCCCACCTACCGGGTCTGGAGATCCCCTTCCCCACCCAGCACTGTCCTCCAGCGGTTTCTCTACCTTGGCATCTGTCTGCAAGTGATTAAATTCCTCTCAGATAACTGCTGGTGTTCATCTACTGCTGGTTGATGGAAACCTTTGGCTGATACAGTACTTTAAGTGTAATCTACTTTTCTCTAATTCAGGTCAGGGAGTGGCAAAACCGTCTCAAATGTGATAATAGACTCACAGAATTCTGACAATGAAGATGATGAGCAGTTTGTGGTAGAAGCTGCCCCTCAGCTCTCAGAAATGTCAGAAATTGAAATGGTAAGTTTACCAGAAGGTGTTGTTTTTAGTAATTATGTTTAAGCAACATTAGGACTCCAGCTTTTAGATTACATAGATACACTTTTCCTAATGTTGCAGCTTGTTTTCTACCTTCTTTATATATTGTTTTCCTTTTTTGATGGTACTCTTTCAACTCAGAACCTCATACTTGCTAGATAGGTGCTCTACAACTGAACCACACCTCTGGCCCTGTTCTGCACTGGTTATTTTTTTTTTGGTCAGTTGTGGGGCTTGAACTCTGTGCCTGGGTGCTGTGCCTGTGTTCAGCTTGAGGCAAGCACTCTACCACTTGAGCCACTGCGCCATTTCTGGTTTTCTGGTGGTTCATTGAAGAGTCTCACAGGCTTTCCTGCTGGGGCTGGCTTTGAACTGTGATCCTCAGATTTCAGCCTCCTGAGTAGCTAGAGTTATAGGCTCGAGCCATTAGCGTCTGGCTTGGGGACTTTTTTTTTTGCCTAAGCTGCCCTTGATTTTGACAATTGCAGTTTGGTAGGATTATAAGCATGTGCCACTGGAGCCTGACCTCTACCTCCTTTAATTTGTTGTTGTTGTTGTTGTTGTTGAACTTACTTGCTAGGTGTGCAGAGTACCTCTAAGCAACGCCTTCAGCCTCTATTTATACTGTTTATTTATGAGATTCAGTCTTGCTTCCTACCTGAGTGAGCAGCTGGTCTACCTATTTTAGGCTTCTCATTGTTGCTAGGATGAGAGTTATGCCCTACTGGCATCCAGGTTTTTTTTTTTTTGTGCCAGTCCTGGGACTTGAACTCAGGGCCTGGGTACTGTCCCTGGACGTTTTTGCTCAAGGCTAGCTCTCTACTACTTGAGCCACAGCTCTATGTCAGGCTTTTTTTGTTGGTTAACCAGAGATAAGAGTCTCAAGGGCTTTCTGCCTGGGCTGGCTTTGAACCATGATCCTCAGATCTCAGCCTCCTGAGCAGCACTAGTTAACATTCAGTTCGATTGAGAAGGGTTTCATGAATTTTTCTGCTCAGACTGGTCTAGAACTTTGATTCTCACAATCTCAGCTTCCCTAGTAGATAGAATTACAGATGTGAGCTACTAGTGCCTACTGCCCTTTAATTATTTATTCATTTATAGGTGTGTGTGTGTGTGTGTGTGTGTGTGTGTATGCATGCGTGCGCGCGCGTGTGTATGTGCACGCGTGTGAATTCTGGATCTTGCTCTCTCTTGTTTGCTCATGATTGTTTGCTCATGACTGTTAACATTTGAGCCATGCCTCTAGCCTTTTGCTGGCTAATTGGAAATCAGAGTCTCATGGATTTGCCTGCCTGGGCTGGCTTCACATTGTGATTCTCAAATTTCAACCTCCTGAGTAGCTAGAATTATAGACTTGAGCCATCATTGCTTGCCTTTTTTTTCTTTAGTCATCTTTAAATAGTTGTACAAAGGGATTTCAATTTAACATGTCCATTTATGTGTATATTGCATCTTAAGCATAGTCACCCCTCCAGCATCTCCCCCTTGCCCTTCCTCCATCCTGTTAATTTTTTTGAGATCCAGAGAAGCACAGTTTTGAGAATAGGGCAACCCTGAATCATTTTTTCTTCCTTTCTTTCCTGCTCAGGGGTCAGCAATGGAACTAGAGGACAATGAGAAACATGGTGAGTCCTTGTGTAACTGCATATGTATGTTTGTGTGCTAGGTTTTGGCCATGGGTCAGACATACTTGGCCTTACTGGGCTACATTCATGTTATAGTATTGGGGTAAACTGCAGTCTTCACTGGGCTGGAGGAGGGCATTGGACCCAGAGCTAGCAAGGACTTTGATCAGATGGCAGCTTCTCTTGTCTGTCTAGGACAGGATTCCTGAGGTCCATTCTCTTCCCCAGGTGTATTTTCCCCTTGAATGGTCCTTTTATTAGTCCAAACTGTTGTTCTTGTGCCTGTTTGCATAAAACAGTATTTTTTATGTTTAATTATTTTTTGAGTGTTAGTACTGGGATTTGAATTCAAGGTCTTATGCTCTTGCTTGGCTTCTTTTTTTTTTTTAGCTCATGACTGGCACTCTACCATTTGAGCCATACCTGCATTTTTTTAATAAGTTTTTTTTATTGTGAAAATACTGTACAGAGGGGTTACAGTTACATGAGCAAGATAATGAGTACATTTCTTATCAAGCATTGTGGCCTCCTCCTTTGTTTTTCTCCTACCATCCCTTCCCTCCCACCTCCTCAACTACATTCTTCCCTTGTCCCCCACTCTTAAATTGTAAAGTTCGGTTTTCAACATAGCATCTTGTACATCTCATTATTGCAATGGGTCAACCTATATCCCTGTTTAAACAATTTGTTTTTTTCCCTTCCCCTCCCCAAATTATACCAACATCAAATACAGTGAAGACAGGGGTTATACTGTGGGGGAAGGACATAGAAAGCAACAAAAAAATCACATGGTACCTTATAAATATGTTAGAAACTATAGCAAGAAAGAAAAAAACCACTTGTGTCCCTATCTTGGGGTTCATTTCGCTTAACATCTTATCTGACCTTTTCTGCTTGTCCCAAACATACACTAGTTATTGCAAATAACTTACTTCACTTAATATAATTTTTTCCAAGTCTTTCCATTTCCTAACATGGGGCAATGTCATTCTTTCTGATGGAGGCATAGAATTCCGTTGTGTATATATACTTCATTTTCTTGATCCATTCATCGACTGAGGGGCATCTGGGTTGGTTCCATATCTTAGCTATGATAAATAATGCTGCAATAAACAGTTGTGCTGGTAGCTTTAGTATGGTCTTGTTTGTGGTCATTTGGGTAAATGCTCAAAACTGGGTTGCTGAGTCATAGGGGAGCTCTATGTGGAGTCTTTTGAGGAACTTCCATACTACTTTTCAAAGTGGTTGAACAAGTTTACACTCCTACCATCAATGCAGTAGGGTTCCCTTCTGGCCACATCCCCTCTAGCATCTGTTGTTATTAGAGTTCTTGATTATAGCCATTCTAACTGGGGTGAGGTGAACTGAGATTCTCATGCTCTTGCTTGGCTTTTTTTTTTTTTAAGCTCATGACTGGTACTCTACCATTTGTGCCATACCTGCATTTTGAACATACCTTTTGATGGTTAATTGGAGATTCTTATATCTTAGTCTTAGATTAAGATTTGGGCTGGTTTCAAACCTTGATCCTCAGATCTCAGCCTCCTGCATAGCTAGGATTACAGGTGTAGCCACCAGCAACTTGCTTCAATTTTTAAAAATTAGCATACATTAGTAGCACAAGGTAGTTTTATTATGAATTTCCACACATTATATGATGTATCCCTGTCAGCTTCTAGCATTTCTTTCTCTTAAAAAAATTTTTTAACAGTCCTGGGGCTTGAACCTCAGGGCCTGGGCACTGTCCTTGAGCTCTTCAGCTCAAGGCTAGCATTCTACCACTTAAGTCACAGCACTACTCAGGCTTTTTCTGTTTATGTGGTACTGAGGAATTGAACCCAGGGTTTCATGCATGCAAGATACTAAGCCACCTTCCTAGTCCCCATCCACTTTTTTCAAATGACATGATTTCATTTTTCCATATGGCTTTGTGATATTCCATGGTGTATACATATTGTGTCTTCTTTATCCCTTCATCTATTTTTGGGCATCCTGGCTGATTCCATTGTTTGGCTCTTGGGTCTTGTACATTGGGTCTTGTACACTTTTTCAGATAGATGCTCAACAGTGGGATGGTGAAGTCATAGAGAAGATCTACTTTTAGTATTTTGAGGAATCTCCATACTGACTTTTACAGAGGCTCTATTAGTTTACATTTCCACCAACAGTGTAAGAGGGACCCCTTTTCCCCATATTCTAGTATTTGTAGTCACTTGTTTTCTTGATGGCTGCCACTCTTAGGTGAGATGGAGTCTTAGTGTGTTTTTCACTTACATTTCCTTTATGGCTAAGGATATTGAGCTTTTCTTTATGAATCTATTAGACATTTGTATATACTCTTTGGAAAACTTCAGACAATATATTTGTCCATTTTTTAGTTGAACTATTTGGTCCTTTATTGTTGAATTTTTCTGAGCTCCTTGTATATTCTTCTTCTTCTCCTTCTCCTTCTCCTTCTTTGTTCTTCTTCTTCCTTCTTCTTCTTCTTCTTCTTCTTCTTCTTCTTCTTCTTCTTCTTCTTCTTCTTCTTCTTCTTCTTCTTCTTC